GGGTAAGATCAGCTGCAGGAAAAAGAGGAATAAATTGCTGATATGTTCAAAGCTGCCCAAACCATTCTATCAGAGGCAGAAGTGCAAAGGAGCAGACTGCTGAAACTGAAATCAGGGAGATAAACAACATAAAGAAACTCTGGGGAAAAGCCAACAAGGTCACTTGAAATAATGCTGACTTGTTTCCAGCAACACCTTCTGCTGTTGTTGGTTTGGCCTCTTTCTGATGCTTCTTTCTGAAATACATCACTGTTTCTTACAACTTGTCCAGTTCAGTCCCACTGGGCATTTTCATTCCTATGCTGATTATTCTTTTCCTCTAATCATTAATGAATATGTTAATTAGGATGCAGTGAAAATTTCTGCAAGGCATTTAAACGTCTCCTTCCCAACACAAACCTTTGCCATTTGAAATACAAAACCCACCCAAGTGTGACAATACAGTTCAGTGAGGAATTCCCTGTGCCCACTACTTTTGTAAGGCTACCAAAGAGCAAGGACATTAGCCAGGTAAAATTTCTGTTCTTCAGGTCCCCATGGTGTCCAGTTCCTCTAATCTTCCAAGTTTTTGAGTGTTCAGTCCACTGCTTTCATGGAGATGAAGAAACTCGTGTCTGTGTTATCATGTCTCTGAAAGAAACTCCTTGTCAGTGCCCCCATGTCACTGCTGCCTCCCCTGGAGGGCTGTGGAGGCCTGTGCCAGGCTGCCCAGGGCAGTGGTGGAGTCCCCACCCCTGGAGGGGTTTCCAAGCTGTGGAGATGTGGGGTGAGGGACACGGGGCAGTGGGGACCTGGCAGGGCTGGGGGGTGGTTGGACTCGATGACCTTAAAGGTCTCTTCCAACCTAAAGGATTCAAGGATTTTAGAAGAGAAGCACAGCAGGACAGGGAAGTGCTGGGACAGAACAGTGTCCCCATCCTCCAGCAAGTTACCAGACTGATCAACAATGAAGCATTGCTCTTTGAAGAGCAGCCCTTCAGAGGTCATGTGCTTGAGAGGATGGCATTTTATCTTGTGATGTGAAAAAAGAGCAATTCCATGGATCCATGAAGAAAAATAGGTCTTGGGATCAAAGTAAAATCTTTCCCCTCTCTAGAATAAGCTTGAAATTCCACATTCTTCCAGGCAATGACCACAACTATCTAAATAATACAAAGCACTTTGCATATTTATGCTGAAATAAATACACAGTTTACATTATTTTTTTTCTCAGCATCTGTGTCAAAGGAGTTTATGGGAAGAGACAAGTTGGTGAGGTGCTGGCAGCAGCACTGCTGCTCCTCAGAGGCAATGAGCTCGTTCCCAGATGGCTAGGAGGAAGAAGGATGACACAGAGAGCAGGGCTGAGGCCCAGCCAGCCCAGCCTGAGGCAGCAGCAGATCCTCCCAGGGCTCTGACACCACTGGAGCAAGGCTGGAGTGCCTCAGGATCTCATGATTCAGACAGCAGGTCACTGCTCATGTGATGAAGGCACCATGGCAACCAGAGCCAGGTTTGTTTGGAATGACACTCTGCACACACTCCATTCCCTGTGACCTCAAAGGGGTGTCACCAGGAAGCAGTGCTGGCTCCCAGCTGGGGAGGGGACCCGTGAGAGCAGCCAGCGAGCTGCTGTCAGTGCTCACCTTCTGGAAATAGCCTCTCTTCATGGAGCTGTCCTTCACTTGCCTGAAGTACACGTAGCCGAAGTAATGAGCTGACTCCCTCTGCAAGAGAGGCCCCAACACTGTCACTGAGAAGCCAGGACTGCTCCCCCCAGCTGCCCCCAGCCCTGGGCAGGACACGGCCCCAGCCCTGCCCAAACTGCCCGTGCCCAGCTGGCAGCAGAGTGACCAAACAGGAACACAGGGGAGAGAAACAACCAAGCTCCCAAGGAATTACAGCCCCCAGGCAGCACCTTTGACTGGCCCCTTGCTGCAGCACCTTCAGAGCCATCATCTAGAACCCTCAGCAGAGGAGACAGGGACCTGCTGGAGCAGGGCCAGAGGGGGCTGTGGAGGTGCTGCAAGGGCTGGAACCCCTCCGCTGGGAGGCCAGGCTGAAG